AATTTATGACCGACATATCAGAATGTTATTTGTGAAGTTTGAATTGAATTTACTTAACGCGAAATAAATACTAAAATAGGAATTTTCTATGCCGCGTTAGTAAAAGAAAAAGCATAATTTTAATTGTATGTAATTTCGATGAATACTATAAAAAAAATTATACGCATTGTTTATATAAATTAGCTAACATTTTTAACAAAAATATCAATTTTATAAATAATTGAATTTCAATATTTTTCTTTGAAAAAAAATATATTCGTGAGCTCCATAGCGCATGAGAATAAATTTCAAAAGTTTGTGAATTAAAATTCACAAGATACAAGTTTGATATTTTTGTTAAATAACTGATCAGAATGCTTATAGTTTATTTTGTTACATGGCTAAAACAAACGTCGCTACTATCGTAATAAATGTGTAAATGTTAGCTAATTTATATAAACAATGCGTATAATTTTTCTTATAGTATTCATCGAAATTACATACAATTAAAATTATGCTTTTTCTTTTACTAACCCAGCATAGAAAATTCCTATTTTAGTATTTATTTCGCGTTAAGTAAATTCAATTCAAACTTCATAAATAACATTCTGATATGTCGGTCATAAATTCGAATGACGGAATGTACATTTTTGTGTCGTATTTTGTTAATATGCCGTCGCCACAGAAAAATAGAACATATTGATAAACATTCTAGCCCTATATAGGGGCAAAGGAAACACATGGAATGTTCTATTATACTTATAGTTTTTTAAATCAATCAACTAAATCCATCAACTGAATCAAGGAAAGAATAATCGGTCTTTCTGAATTCTGATTTCTGGTACTGATATTTTTGAAATATACAAGTTCGTGACATTTATGAATCTGGTCAGACTGAATGAATGTGGCATAACCGCATAACATTCAAAAACAAAGCTCTCTCAGCGTGTCAGGAAAAGAACATTACGACTATATTTACAAAAAGGGTATTACTAGCTGTGGTAGTTTCTTTCATCTGAGATATGTTAGTCAGAAAGAAATTGTTTACTTTTAGCGCCGCTCAAGAAATATGTTAATTAGCTATAAATTATGCAAAAATCATTGATTATGGGCTCCAGAAAATCTTAACTCGCGCCAAATACAGATTGATACCCGCAGGTTTTTCTTCAGATCTTCTGAAAATAAGTATAAATCATTACAGCCAAGCACATTTCAGCGTAATTTTAGGTCCCCATTTGGAGATCTCAGGCTTCGATTTTAGTGTAATTTTGTAGACCGAACAAGAAGCAAAAACCGGTGTGCCGTCAAGTCGCTGTCGTTTATTCACAATTTATTCAAATGCTCTTATTTTTTGGAACAGGGAACCTGAATTGTATCTTAACTTGTTGATCTAGTTGAAACTTGGACATAGTCCGGCGTTTTGACACAGCGCGGCTCTACAATTTACCGAAATTCAACCTTCGATTATGCTTGAAATTAGCTCTGCACGGGTAAAATGAGTTTCGGCGTCTAGCAAAGCCATAAAAAAGAATTTTCAAAAAATAAATTTATTCTGGACACTTGTATACCAATGCCTTTCAACACCCAAAAAATAAAGGAAATCTATATTCCGAAGTCAAAGTCATCGGACCGCTCTTAGCGGGACTGCCACTTAAATAATTTATCAATTATCGAGCAAGACCCATCGTTCCAGTTGTTGAACAGTAATTGGAGTGTGGCCACACCAAGGCTTTCTACATTTCTATTAAAGTTTCTCTGGGAACAAACGATCTTGCCCTTTTCAAAAGGGCGATCTTATTTGAAATTACTTTGCATTGTGCATCATTATGTTTGTCCCACTTCAATTGCTCATCTAGAATCATGCCAAGTGACTTTTTTTCAAAAACGCGTTTGATATTACTTTGCCCCATTGTTTAATAGTATTGGGCTATTTTCATTTGAAGTTAGACGATGTATTGATCCTATTGATGAACTCAGTTTTTTCGAGTAAGTCAAAAGGTTAATTAAAAAGTTGACTTTTGAAACAGATAGCACGACGTCGACTTCTATCGATAGATATATTTAACTAAAGTCGGATGTAACGTGCGAGAATGCTAGGCATATGGATTGTGAACCGTTTATGAACATATGGATTGTGAACCGAACTTCTCTGTTCCTTGG